AGAAAGAAATCCTTTTCCACATGTTTTCCCACCTGGGATTGATTACAACATAAGCCCAAGATCCTACCTGTGATTCCACTTCAATTGCCCTCTTTGGCCTTGGTTCCTAAGTACCCCTGCCTCCCCCACAATATCCTCATCATTGTTGACATTACCCCGTCCATCTCTCTGTCTTTGTGCCTCTTATTAAAATAGTCTCTCTCTTGCCAAAACCAGTTTGGCTCAATGGATAGAGTGTCGGCCTGTGGACTGAAAGGCTCCAGGTTCGGTTCTGGTCAAGAGCATGTACCTTGATTGCAGGCACATCCCCAGTAGGGGGTGTGCAAGAGGAAGCTGATCGATGTTGCTCTCTCATCGATGTTTCCAACTCTCTATCCCTCTCTCTTCTTCTCTGTAAAAAATCAATAAAATGTATAGATATATATATATATATATTAAATATATATTTTATTGATATTTTCAGAGAGGAAGGGAGAGGGATAGAGAGAAACATCGATGAGAGAGAATCATCGATCAGCTGCCTCTTGCACACCCCCTACTGGAGATGTGCCTGCAACCAAGGTACATGCCCTTGACCAGGATCGAACCCAGGACCTTTCAGTCCTCAGGCTGACGCTCTATCCACTGAGCCAAACTGGTTTCGGCGCAATAAAATATATTTTTAAAAATAAAGTCTCTCTCCTACAACACACGTTTCAGATGTTACCTCCTCCTGAAACTTAGAGCCTCTGTTTTCTGTTCTCATTGAATTAAGTCAGGGCTGTCTTCATATCTAGCTTGATTAAGAAATATTTAATTATGTTAAGTGAAATAAATTATACTCAGAGGAAAATATTATTTAATTCCACTTATATGAAGTATGTAGAATAGGAAAATGCAAAGAGATGGAAAGTGGAAAAGAAGTTACTGGGGTTTGGGACATCATGAGGAATGAGGAGTTGTCTTTTAATGGGTAGAGTTTATACAGTGGGTGATGAAAAAGTTTTGGGTATAGGTACTGGTGATGGGTACACAACATTGTAAATGTATTTAATGCTACTAAAAAGTGAAAATGATCAATAGTATGAATATTTTACTACAAAGAAAGATAACTAAAATCCCCACAAAAGTTGTTCGTTTAAATAGCTTTTCCTTGTAGATTGCAAGCTTGTGGGAATGGTGAAAAAACATGACTTTTTTCATCATTATCCAGCACAATGCTTTGGATGAGATAGTCACTCATTACTGCTTCAATTCAAGGATAGAAAGAAAAACAGAAATAAGATACATTTTGACACATCTGCTGCCTCCAAAAATGTATATACTGTATACAAACACACATAAAACTACTATGAACAAACGTGATTCCAATTTGGTTTGAGAATTTCCAACTTTTGTCAGTGAAGACATACTTCAGGTGTCACTGCCCTAATGACCCCAGGCAGGAAGTCAGACCTGCAGGTGCGGAGCCTCTGTGGGTTTGAAGAACTTCCTGCCAGTCTCCTTCCATGTGGTGCCATGCATTTCTGCCCCCTGAGATCAGTCTGATCATTGGCAAAATGTTGCGGACAACAGCACACAGCACATACAATATTTGTCCAGGCACATGCACTAATAGCTAATTCTATCTAATAAAAGAGTAATATGCAAATTGACTGTGACTCCAACACACAAGATGGCTGTCCCCATGTGGTCAAAGATGGCTGCCCCCATGTGGACACATGATGGCCGCCACAAGATGGCCAGTAGGGGAGCGAAGTTGGGAGAGAGGAGGCCTGCAAGAGAGGGCAGTTGTGGTCAATCAGTCAGCAGGGGAGGGCATTTGGGAGGGACCAGGCCTGCAGGGGAGGACAGTTAGGGGTGATCCCACCGGGATCCAGCCTAAACAGGCAGTCAGACATCCTTCGAGAGGTCCCAGATTGGAGAGGGTGCAGGCTGGGCTGAGGGACACACACCCCCATGCATGAATTTCATGCACCAGGCCTTTAGTTAATAAGAATTCTGCTTTGAGCCCTCAGTTGTTCCTTTCAGGGTAGTAATAGAAAGTAACTGCCATATGCCTTCACTGGACACACCTCACGGTTCCCATGGGTTTAGCCTTCTCCCCTCTAGCTCAGAGCTGGTGGAGGCAAGGGTAGAAGAGCTAGTTCAGAGCCAGTAAACAGCAATGAGGTACATGAAGAGGGGACAGTGAAACCGGGACAGGTGCCTCCTTTCTCTGCATCCCTGGGGATCCTAACGTGCTTTTTTTTTAAAAAAAATCTTACACTCTTGTTGGAAAGACAGTGTGAACAATAAAATTCAAGTCTGTAAGTGATGTGTGATTTTAGTGGCTTCTCTTTTTTGTGCCTTTTGGCAGCTGCCCTCTCCTGGCATTGCCAAACTGTTTAGAGGCCTCCAGTAGGCTGAGGGCAGAATCTGAGGAGCACTTACACCTGCTGAGAACTGGGTTGGTGTGTATTTTCCTTCCCAAGGGATGTGCATGTCAAGAAGCTCCTAGGAGGAGCCGGGATTGGTTTGGCTCAGTGGATAGAGCATCGGCCTGCAGACTGAAAGGTCCTGGGTTCGATTCCGGTTGAGGGCATGTACCTTGGTTGTGGGCACATCCCCGGTGGGGGGTGTGTAAGAGGCAGCTGATCGATTATTCTCTCTCATCGATGTTTCTAACTCTCTATCCCTCTCTCTTCCTTTCGGTGAAAAATCAATAAAATATATTTTTTTTTTTTAAAAAAAAGAAGCTCCTAGGAGGAGACATTGCACATCTGAAAGCTAGAGTTCATGTCTTGTTTCTCTTTGCATCCCAGCCCCCAACATGGTGCCTGGGGCAAAGGAATTTATAATAAATGTCTCAATGAAAGTGATTACTGGCAGAATTCCCATCTCTGTAATACCAGGTTGGGTTCAATAGTTCCTTTACAGATCAGGCAGAACTTCGGGGGTCCTTCCTATCTTATAGGAAGGGATATGAGACCCTCCTCTTAAACATTTTAAAGTGTTTTTTCATAAATGTATGTAAATACATTTATTTATACATTTCAAAGTGTATAAATAAATCTGCAAACGTGTGAAGTGACGTGTAGGAAAAGGAAAAATCCCTTCATACTGAAAACATACTAGCAGTCACTTCACTGTTCTCAGTTCTTGAAATTAGGATCAAGGTCTTTCCCTCTTTAGATCATCAGGTAGCCATCATGTGCCAGACACTATGGCCCTAAGAGATGTACCTGTGATTCAGATACAGATATTCTCTACCACCATGGGGCTTAGATACTGTGAAAATAGTCATACATTGCATTTCTGGTGAGGTATTTAATTCAACTGTGACCAAGAACAAAAGGGCTCTGGGATCATCAAGAGAGGCCACAGTCAAGGGAGGCTTTGAGGAGGTGACGGTGGATGTGGTCATTAAAGGGTGGATAGGAGTTAACGAGCCACAGGGGCAGTGAGATGGTCTATGGAAGGAGGAGCATCTACATAAACTCTGAGGCTAGAGGGAGCATCAGGAGTTGGAAAAACCAAAGTCCACGTGGCTGGTGTGCAGACAAGAGTGTGAACTGGACATGAAGTTGAGAGGTCATCAGGGCTAGAGCACTCAGCTGTGCAGCCAAACCATACTCATTGTTGCTCAAATGGTGTCTGAATAGTTGTCTGAATGCATCTCAAGTAATTGCTCTAAACACTTTAAATTCTATAGTAGAGTGAATATATAATCAAGGATCATTCCTCTCCCCCCCATTTTTGACCTTGTTTGCTTTCTTGGTACAGAGATAGAAGTTTCAGGAAAAATGGATGGAGCAATATTGGGTGGGGAGTGGGGAAGAAGCATTCAAAGTTAACATTACCATAATTTCAGAACACTGTGGTGAATGCCTTGGAAAGCATAGTCTTCTGAGACTCTCAACTATGAATATGGGAGAGGTAGAGAGGTCATCAGTGCAGTCATAAATCAATATTCAGATTGAATCTACTTGTAGGTTAGTTTAGGATGAATCTTCTGCATTTTCCAACTAACCAAGGAAAATAGTGCTACATCTAAAATTGGCAGTCACTGGTTGTATTTAAGCTTGATTTCAAAACCACTCCTGACTATTTTGGCAGGATGTATCTTGGATTGTTGTTTTTAAGCAATCCAGATGCAGACTAATTAAAAAAAAAAAAAAATTAGCCTGCCTAGAGGGAGCCTTCATCTTTGGTTACTCCTTATATATAAAGTAGAGGCCCCATGAACTCATGCATGGGTGGGGTCCCTCGGGGTAGCCTGTGGAGATCGGGTCCCAGCTTGCACCCCCAGGCTCCAAGCCCCAGCTCACGCCCCTAGCTGCAGCCCCTCCTGGTACCCTGCTGTGGCCTGGCACCACTATCTCACCTGCTCCACCATCCCCCTGCCTGGCTCCCTAAGTGCTGGGAACTGGGTGGAGGCTTTGCCCCTGGCTGTTGGTCACTGTCTGCAGGGCAATTGGCATGGCCATTAGGCCCCTGCTCACACCCACCTTGGTCTGGCAATGCCCACTTACCTGCTCCACCATCTGGCCACGTCACTCACTGACACCCGCCATGTTCTGTGCCACTTCCTGATGGTCAGCGCACGACATAGCAAGTGGTGAAACTCCCGGTCAAACTCCTGGTCAAACAATTTGCACATTAGGCTTTTATATATATAGCTATCCTCCTAGACAATTTGGGTTTCAAGAAGTATCTTTTTCAATTTTAAGAACTTTACTGTTAGCAGTCTATTCATTCTTGTGGTTAAAGAGGATAGTTTCTCTGGACCTCTAATATTTGCCAATCTCTAAGGAAAGGCAGGGTGCCTGACTTAGTCATCCAGATCCTGTTGACTCTAAGTTCGGGTCTCTCTCACCCCATCGTGTGTAATGATAGTCTGGATGTTGCCCTCTTACGTAGGGGATTCCATATGGTCCTCGATCTTGACTATTGACAGCTTTTCCTCCTCTCTCCTCCTGCCTCTGGGTTATTAGGTTCCTGCAAGTTCCTTGCAAACTGCCCAAGACTTCCAGCCAAAGATGGTGGTAATGAGTAGCCTGAGGGTCATTCTTCAGGCCTCTCTATGCAAATTTCTGTGGAGAAGATGCCAAATTCTGAGATCCACACCAGTGAGGCCCTGCAGCCTCTACACCTGCACTTACAAAACCCGGAACCGAGCCTGTGAGTACCCTGTTACCTTAAGGAGAGCAGGATGCTTGTTTCATAACAGTCACGCATGTTAAAGATCTATGGATGGGATGTCAGTGGCATTCCAGAGTGGGTTATATGCCTTGAGAACTTTGAGAATTAATTACTTGTTTATCTGTCCTCTGAAAGGAATGTGGAAAGTTCTTTTTACCCCAGCTTTACTGAGATATAATTGACACATAACAAGTGTAAGCCTAAGATATAACACGTGGTAATTTGATACACATGTATATTGCAAAATGATTACTGCAGTAAGGTTTAGAAAATCCCTTTCTTGATCAGTTTGAACATGTTCAAATGATGTCCTACAGAAATGGGACAAGTGTGAGATTCCAGTTCAAATATTTTGAAACCTGTTCTTTATTGTTTCTTGTTAGCAAACTGTCTTTTTTTTAAAAAAAAATATATATTTTTATTGATTTCAGGGAGGAAGGGAGAGGGAGAGAGAAATAGAAACATCAATGATGAGAGAGAATAATTGATCTGCTGCCTTCTGCACGCGCCCCCTTACTGGGGATTGAGCCCGTAACCTGGACATGTGCCCTTGATTGGAATCGAACCCAGTACCCTTCAGTCTGCAGGCCGACACTCTATCCACTGAGCCAAACTGGCTAGGGCAGCTATTGTTTTTTTAATTATTATTATTTATTATTATTATTATTATTATTATTATTATTATTATTAAGGTTGCCCACAGACTGCGAATGATTTCTGTGGATCTGAACATTCTAGGAGATGCATGTGAATGTTTGCCAGCAGTTCAAAACAGTAGCATCACACCCTGGAATATTCTTTCCTGAGTTACGCACTGTGGTTGCTTCTAGCTGACCAGCTTGTTGAATGTATGTTCTTCTGTAAACATAGCAGATCAAGTGAGGCAGCAGGTGGTCTCTGCTAAAACCTCTCACGTCCAATCCCCCTGCCAAAAGACCAGTTACCATCTACCTCTCTATGGGGCAGGGATTCTCCAATGTAGCACCTCGGACATGGGGGTGGTCATTCTGTGTTGTCAGGGGCTGTCCTGTGCACCGTAAGATGTTGGATGGCATCCCTGGCTTCTGCCTACTAGATGGCTGCAATATCCCTGACCAGTTGCAACAACCAAATATGTCTGCACACGTTACCAAATGAGCGCTAAGGGACAAAATTGCCTCTGGTTAAAAATGATAGGAGAGGATAAACTTTGTATCTGTGGAGAGATGAGTTTGAGTTGTAGAGTGATTCAATGGATAAATATATCCTTGAAGAGGTGTTTTTCCTATTTTCCATTAGTTTAAAGGGTTTGACTCAGAGTTGTGAAATATTGGCTTGCTTCTAGGTCAAGGTTTCCCTATTTTTTCTCTTTGGGTTTAGTCTCTTCTGATCCCATTTGCACGTAATAAAAGCATAGGTAAGAAATGAATGCTTGTAAATTAGGAATGATAATCTAGCTAAAGCCAAGGACTTGAAACTGCTCCACAAATATATTTTTATTGAAAGTATATTTTATTTCCTCTCACATTGACCATGTTCTCATTAAAATAAACTGTTATAATGCCTTTCTGGCTGCTGGGTGTGGCTTCCTACCACCAGGCCCACATCCTACCCAGACTGGCTTATTCTCAACACTGGCACTTTGAGGCTTAAAGTGGGGGAAAAATATTTATCTAGGCAAAAAAGTTTTAATTTTTTAACAGAAAGTTGAAAAGTATAAGTCCCTAATGCTAGCTAGTAGTTAAATAAAGTGAACCACAAAAATGAGCTATGTAAACAATTCCATCTTTTCTAATAATCACACTTAAAAATGAACAAATAGCCTGAACCACTTTGGCTCAATGGATAGAGTGTATGCCTGCAGACTCAGGGGTCCTGGGTTCAATTCCGGTCAAGGACATGTACCTTGGTTGCGGGCACATCCCAGTGGGGGGTGTGCAGGAGGCAGCTGATTGATGTTTCTCTCTCATCGATGTTTATAGCTCTCCCTCTCCCTGCCTCTCTGTAAAAAATCAATAAAAAATATTTTTTTAAAAATGAATGAATAGTATGTCAATTGCATCTCAATAAAACTGGGGAAGGTAAATTTTGTTCATTTTTGTAATTCTACTAATACAGAAAATATAGATGAATTATAGTATATAAGTGAAATAAATATGACTAATATATTTTATTTAATGTAATATATCCAAAATATTATCACTTTAAAGTAAGATGAATATAAGGGTTATAAATGAAATAATTTGCTTTTGTTTGAAATATATTTGCAAACAATATAAGTCTTCAAGGTCCCTCAAAAGTTACATTTATAGCACATTTCAATTTCAACTAGTCACCCTGGGTGCGTGGATACCATGTTAGACAGTGCAGGTTCGGAGAGCAGTTGCCTAGGAATAACAGTAGATGAGAGGATGCGTAGTGTAATGTGCAGCTGTCAGGGAAGGGGTTTGAACTGACCTTGAGGGCCAGTAGGATTTTCACAGATGAGAAAAAAACCAGGTCGTTGTGATCATGTGGATGCAGGAGGTGTTCTGGGTATAGCTGCTTGCCTGGTTGAAGAGACTATAGGTGAAAGGTAAGGCTAGAGCGTTGGTATCAACTTGTTTGGTTTCCCCTATCAGTAAGGTAAGCATTAAGTGCCTCTTTTGTGCCTGGTACCAAGTTCAGCCCTGGGCCTGCAGCAAAAGTACAGGATCCAGGCCCTGTGGCTTAGAGTTGACACAGGCCCCTTGAGCAAATAAAGTAAAGGCACATGTGTGAGACATGGTTAGGTGCTAAGTGGTGTGAGGGTGAATGCAGGACGAGTTCAGCAAAAGAAAGGTCAGAGTGGTTGGAGAAAATGTCAAGACTGGAGTTTGAGAAGATGGAGTAGAGGAGAGTGAGAGAGGAGGCAAAGCAACCAAGAACATGGTATGAAGTCTGGGCTATAGAGACTGGAACTAGGCTGGTGGTCATGGGTGAGGCAAGAAAGAGGTAAACCTAAAATATTCTTAAAAAACAATGTGGCTGAAATCGGTTTGGCTCAGTGGATAGAGCATCAGCCTGTGGACTGTGAGGTCCGGGGTTCGATTCCGGTCAAGGGCATGTACCTGGGTTGCGGGCACATCCCCAGTAGGAGGTATGCAAGAGGCAGCTGATTCATGATTCTCTCTCATCGATGTTTCTAACTATCCCTCTCCTTTCCTCTCTGTAAAAAAATCAATAAAATATATTAAAAATATATTAATAATAATGTGTTCAGTAGGGTAATCTATCTATCTATCCACACATATATATATGCCTAATATGCAAATTGTCTGTATGGAAGTTTGATTGGGAGACCGATCACTCATTAAAACAGGCACTGATCACCAGGGGCATCACGGAATGAAGGAAGGCCCTGCCTGGCAACTGGAAGGACCTGATAGGTCCTGACTGCTGGCTAGGCTTAAGGATCCTACCTGTGCATGAATTTCATGCACCGGGCCTCTAGTATGAAATATAGATTAAAAAAAAAGATCTGAAACCGGTTTGGCTCAGTGGATAGAGCGTCGGCCTGTGGACTGAAAGGTCCCAGGTTCAATTCCGGTCAGGGGCATGCGCATTGGTTGTGGGCATATCCCCAGTAGGGGGGGAGGGGGTGTGCAGGAGGTAGCTGATCGATGTTTTTTTCTCATCGATGTTTCTGGCTCTCTATCCCTCTCCCTTCCACTCTGTGAAAAATCAATAAAATATATATATTTTTAAGAAAGAATGAGACCTCCCAGTTATGTTCTTTATTATATTCCTTCATCCACAACTGATAGAAAGCCAGCTGAGTTCTGATTTGCAGAGCAGCAGGGGAAGCACATAACACTTGTATGTGTAGGGGAGGACAAATTATTTTCATTCTACCCTTCTGAATTATTGTCTCCTGCCCCAATAAAGGAGAAAGTAATCAAAGGAAAACAAACAGAATTTTAATAACATGTATACCAGGCCAAAAGGGGGTGGGGGTGAGGAGGGAGTTTGAGGAACAAGTTAACAATAATGTGGATTTATAAAAAGCATCAGTTGTCTTGTACATTTTGATAAGCAACAGCAACAGCTTCATTTGTGACATAGTTTGTGGCACTGGGGAGAAAAGTATTCTATGATTGAAGTGAATTATGTTATAAAGGCATAGAAAAGAAAAAATGTAAAAAACATATTTTCTTTAAAAAAATAACATGGATACCTCCTGTATACATAGGAGAGACCCAGGAAAACCGAGTAATTCCTTGAAACAGCCCAACAGACCACGTTGCCCAGACCAAACACTCTCAGTAGTCCTCACAAACTCTTAGTATTCATAGTCTAAACTAGAGGCCCAATGCACAAAATTAGTGCAAGGGGCTCGGCCCTCGTAGTCGCCATGGCTCACCTTGGCCAGCCCTTGCAACCCCTGCTTCATCCAGAAGGTCATCCGGAAGGACATTTGGCTATCCGGTCTAATTAGCATATTGCACTTTTATTATTATAGATGTCCCCTTGCTGTAGTTGTCTCTTCATATACTGCTATGGATAAGCCCCTGTAGTGCCCCTCAGCAGCTGAGCTACTGAGTATAATAGTTATCAATGAGAACAAATGAGATGATATCCTGACTCAGTTTACATCACTCATATCGAAACAACTTCATTCTTAGATCAGAACAATTTCACTCTTAAAAACAACTTTAATTTTTGTCATGAACAGATTTTAAATCACACAAAACTGATATACAATAAGTGTGAATTCTCAAGTCCCCAGCCACAAGTCTGAATATCTCAGAGGTATTTCTAGAAGTTTAAAAACATCACACAATCAAATGCAGTTGTTTATCCCAACAATAGCAGTTCAATACTAAAATTAAAAGGTGTATATCAGATAAGGCACTACAAGACAACAAAAAAAGGAAGAAGATATGGCTCCTACCTGCAAGGAATTTGCATTCTAATCCAATTATAATATGAGTATACCAATTCATATACGTTTTCCATTTTAGATTCCTGAAACAGAAAGT